GCCATGGCGCCACGGGATGCCACGGGGCCCCCAGCGGTCAACGACTGGAGTCGCGGGAGAGGGTGTCGCAGGCCCTCCTGGATTTCGGATTTGGTATGCAAAATCACCTTTCTGCGGGGTGGTTTTTGTGTACCGAACAAGACCCCCAGGGGGGTGCGATCTGACCCTGGCGGGGTGCCCGCGCCAGCCCCGTCCGGCCGCAATGCGGAAGCATCCCAAGACATGCGAATGCCGTGGGCGTTGTCGAACTGCAAATCGTAGGAACTTGCTGGTGACCACTCCTGGTCCTGCTCCGCAGTGTCGCTCCCTCTGGAAACCTTCGGGGATGTTTCCTGGAAGGGTATTCGTATACCGAAAATCTGGAGTATAACTTTTCCCCTCCTCTCTTGTGCAGCGTCTGTGCACCATCTCTCAGCCCAGCCTGGATGGTGATGTTGTTGGGGGTGGAGGAGGGAGATGGGCTTGGCGGGGGGGGGGGGGAGCCGACGGCGGCAGAGGCGCTCAAGACCGCGAAGGAGGCGCTGGCCCAGGCGAAGAAGCTCGACGACAGGCCCTTGTAGCCGGCCGGGGGGCTGAGACGGGGTGTCACTGGTTCCAGTCGATCGTCGGTTGCGAGCATGTGGGGAAGTGAGAAGGAGAAGGCCTTCTCAGGAGGCGGCGGGACTTCTCAGATGCCCTCGCGTCTTCTGAGAAGTTTTTTTCTGTCTCTTAATGGAAGGCTTAGAACACTTCTCAGAAGGCCGGGGGACTTCCGAACATTTGAGAAGGCCGAGAAGGCCAGCCATACGCCAGGAACCCTTTGGCATCGCAGATTTCTCTGTCTACATTGGGCCGCCGACCGTGACAAGTATTGTAGCCCACGACTGCTCCGTTGTACTTCTGTGCTCCAGCTGTCGGGGTGAGATCTCGACAAGGCGGCGTGTGGTATCTTCCCTATGCCTATTGAGGTTGTGCACCAGCCACTGTGGAACAATGACTGTACCATAATTCAATTTGGATGAAGAAGCTTGAAACTGGCCACCTCTCTGGATACATCTTCACTGATGGGTCTGGCCTCCATCCCTCTTGCCCCCCTGTGTAGGAGAGCTGGCTGGTCTCTCGCTCAGCTGGCTGAAGACGGCGCTCTCATTGGAGCTGCCTGTGGGGCTGTTTCTTGGGTTTTCTGACCTTTCCAAGTTGCTCGTGGTGGTGGGGATGTTGCTATCCTCCAGGATGCGACGGGGGCTAGCTGCAGGTAGTTGTATATTTCATGTTGACTGTCAAGGAACTTCAGACGCTGTCAATGATAAGCCTTTATTCCGCCTTTGTCCGCCACTCGAGGTGTCACCTGTGGGAAAATATTCATAGGACACTTCCTGGTTTCGGTGCAGTTTAAGTGAAGGCCCACCTGCCCAGAGCGGCTGTAGAGGACGTTCGGATTTCAGACTCTGAATGGAGTGGCAATCGTGCTGCTGACATATATGCTGGTCGTGCCGTCCAGCAGCGCCCCGACACTTCTGAATGTAAGCTTACTCCAGATGTCTTCAGAGATATTGCTATTCAGTTTGCTCGCTGGGCCGCCACCCAAGAGGTGTTGATGGCCGAGCGTGAAGATTACGATGCCTTTCCTCTCCCTCCTCGGGATGCCTCGGGGGTGGAGGGGGAGAATGCCACCCTATCAATCTCTAGGAGTGTACACATGAGGCCAAGGCGCCACCGCATGATGTTGTCTCCGTTGTCTCCTGAGGTCTCTACAGAGCTCAAGGTCCGTGTGGCCCTGCAAGGTCATGTTTTGCGACAGGCGGAGGTTTTCCTTCGCTCTGGGCTGCCGCCCGCTCCGCCCAAGAGCCCCACGGTGTGAACGTTTGCTGCTTGTGGAGGATGCCTGGGAGGCCGTTCTCAGCCCCGCCACACCTTGCAACGCGTCGCCGTGTCGCCACCGACCGAGTCGTTGCGCAAGCAGCGAACCCGTGCCCGCAAGTTACAGCTTCCTTGTGGCTCTCGTCAATACAGTGGCTGCACCGTGGGGGCCTGTCAGGCCCCCGCCACGCAGGTGATTGGGGCTATGCTTGCTCCCAAGGTTTCCAGCATGTGCTGGCAAAAGCCTGTGCCCGATTTCCCCTCTCCATGTGCGATGTCTGGGGAGTGGTGGGAGTCGGAACGCGTTGCTGCTGCCCTTGGCTTGTCTGCAGAGGGAATTGCCTTTACTGTGTGCGACGAAGCCGAGGAGGCCAAGCGGCATGCCCTCAGGATTTCAGAGGAACACCAACCATAATGCGTTGTGTATTTGGTCCTCCTGATTTCTCAGAGGGTGACCTACTTCATGTAGTGTACATGAGTAACACGTGGATTGCCTCTGGTGCTTCGGGATGTGCGATGCTGATGATGCTGATGCTGATGCTGATGCTGGTGATGCTGACGATGATGATGATGACGATGATGATGATGATGATGATGGTGATGATGATGATGATGATGATGATGATGATGATGATGATGGCGGTGATGATGATGATGATGATGATGATGATGATGATGATGATGATGACGATGATGATGATGATGATGATGATGCTGATGATGATGATGATGCTGTTGCTGCTGATGCTGATGAGGCTGCTGCTGATGATGATGAGGATGTTGACGACGATGCTGACGGCGATGCTGATTATGATGATGATGCTGCTGCTGATGATGATGATGATGACGATGGTGATGATGATGGTGGTGATGGTGATGGTGATGGTGATGGTGATGGTGAAGGTGATGGTGATGGTGATGGTGATGGTGATGGTGATGGTGGTGGTGCTGCTGCTGCTGCTGCTGATGATGATGATGATGATGATGATGATGATGAGGAGGAGGATGATGAGGAGGATATGGAGGAGGAGGATGGAGGATATGGAGGAGGAGGAGGAGGAGGAGGAGGAGGAGGAATGTGGGATGGTCTGGGGAAGCACGAACGAATTATAGGATGCGGGCATCTCACAGTTCTCATTCAGGTCTAGCCGCGAATTTCAAATCATGGGGATTGGTTGGGGGAGTGCGGAGTGATCAGTAGTCGTCGTTTTCAACACTTCTTCAGGGCGTAGGGGGGGGTTGTTGAGAGGAAAAGGAGGGGGAGGATGAGGGGGGGCCGGAGCGATGGGGGGAGCAGGAGTGATGGTGGGCGTGTGCGTGGTGGGGCGGACTGGGAGGCCAGAGGGGGGGTGAGGGGGCAGGCTGGAAGCCGGGGGGGGGGGGGGGGCAGGCGGCAGCGGCGCGTCAAAGGGAGCCCCGCGAGCGGCGCTGGCGCAGGTTCCTGCTGGGCAGCGCCGTCTACGCGGTGGCCCAGGTTGGGGGCCCCTTGGGGGCGCTCGGGGGGCCACGGTCGTTCGTCGGGCTGTCGCGGTCGCGGTGCGCACCAGCCTCGGCTACAGCAGAGCACCCTCCCAGAGTTCCGACGTTCCAGCAAGAGCTGGAGCCGGGCTGTTTTTGGCCGTTTTCGGCCTCTGGAAGCCCTCGGGACCGTCAAAACGACTCAGGACGAACAACCAGTCCCAGGGAAGTGGTCCAAACCTCCGGGGCCCACGCATCGAGAAATTGAAGCAGCCGGATGTCTGGGCTAATGGCAGCAAAAGATGCAGCCTGGACGTATCCTGGCCTGATCGTATTTTCCTGCCGATTTTTCCGCGCCTTCTTCGACTTCGAGCCTTGTATATCGCCATTTTGGCCCAAACATCGTCTGTACAGCCTGGCCCATGCACATTCAGTTGTGCGAGGGTGGGCCCGGTAGCGGCGAGGGAGCCGGCAGAGATTCGGGAGAGGCCGTCAAGGAAAACAGAAATGCAGCCAGGACAGGGGTGAGAGCACTGCCTTGCAAGGGGTCGCGGCCGCCCAGATCAAGAGTATAGCCGGCATTTGGGCGAGAGCGCGATTCTAGAATAAGTTGCGATCGAAAGGGCTGCCAGACTGGGTGGTCTAGGGCTTTCCGTCCCCCTGTGGGACTTTTTCTTTGTTTTTTTCTGCATGCCTGGAGGAATCCTTTGGCGAAGCGCTGCAAGGAACTGTGAAGGCCTCCCAAAAGGGGTCCGAGCAGATGGGGTCGGGGGATCGCTCCGCATCGTCGATGAATGGGCGATGCGGCTCGATGTGAAGCTCGATTTTCTCTTTTACGTCGACGTTGCCCATGCATGCGTCGCCGACATTGCCGATGCATCGCCGTTGCATCACCGATGCATCGCCGACGGGGCGCGATCCTCCGATTCCATCTACTCGGACCCCATGTGTTGGGAGGCCTTAAAAACATGACTCCTTCCATAGGAAACTAACTTTCTCTTCTGGGGCACAACATGTATGTTTTGGGTTTACACCGTGGCTCATGATATTGTTACTCCTCGGAGTCGCTGGTCCACGCTGGAAGCACCTGCGATAGGCGTTACGTAGGCTACATAGGCTACGCCTATCGCAACACAGCCCATCCGTGTGCACCTTGTCGGTGCGCCCAGTGTAGGCCGAACGGATCTGACTTGCACGCATACGCAGTCTCATACGCAATATGCACGCATCGAGCAGATCTGGTGCGCACACTCGCCAGACACCCTATCTACATCCATCCCTCGGGATCCATACGTGCTGCCCGCGCATTCCCTGTTTCCTCCCTTCACCTTCTAGCTTGCGTCGAGCTTACCCAGGACATTCCATTATCTGTATTCAAACCTCCCTCTTGCCTTTGCCTTGCCTCTCAGTGTCTTCCTCAACAGACTTGCCCACCGCTCGGGCCACGAGTCATTGCCGGGCGTACTCTCGCGAGAAACGACGTGGGTAGCGTCAGTGAGATCAAGAGGGGGGCACCAGTGGACGAGCAGAAGCCGTAAAACCATCCCGACCAGCCGGGCCAGTGGAATGCCATGTGAGACCCAATGGCCGTCCACGATTCGTTCGTTTCGACTACGCGTTCCGAGGTCGTCTCGTGGCATCGATTGGACCCTTCACCCCCTAGGGCGGCCCCCTTCCACCTCCGGTGTGCCTCGGTTCGAACTTTTGGGTCCCGCAAGCGATTCGATGGATCCTGGGACGAAGGATCGCCGCTGGCTTGCCGTGGTTTTCCTAGGGCCACTCCTCGAGGCGGGGGCTTATCCATAACCACAGCCAGGGGGACCCGTCTTCGGGGATCTCGGCGTCGACAAGGCCCCGCGCCATTTCGGTCGTGGTCATCGTGCTGCCTCCCTCCTGGTCATCGTGCTTCCTCCCTCCGTGCGTGCAGGGGAATTCCCCAGTGCCCGATCGATGGGTGGAGCTATAGGTGGCCTCGAGGACAGAAGGGGCGCGTCTGCAGGGAAAGGCCCACGGTGCGGCGGCGCGCCGAGCGGGGAAGCGAGAGGGGGCAGGCCTTCCCAGAAGGCGGCCTGGTGAAGCCCCCTGAGGGCTTCACCAAAGACGGCCCCCGGAGGGCCCCAGGGGTCTGCTCCGACCCCATCTATCGGGGGTGGACAGAACCCCCAACAGTGACACGTCGATTAGTGAATTGTCCGTTTTCGGTTCTCGAGAGGGCGCCGTGGTCGTTTTCACTAAACCACGTTTTACTAAAGGGGGTCTGCCCATCCCCGAATGTAGGAGGCCTCAGAACAATGGGCTCGACGGTGCAGGCTGCCCGCGTGAGGTCGCGCGTAAGCGCCCTCGCTTCCAGTGCGTCGCGCCGCGCAGTCGGCCCGCGTGAGCCACCGCGAAACGTCGCCATGGCATCTCGCGCAGGACGCGCGTGTTTTTCTCGCTGACGTTGCGTGGACGGCCCCTCGGTGGAGGGTTCTCTGGCGTGCGTTTGCCCTCAGGCGCAGTCGGACCGAGGTGTAAGGTCGAGGTTGGCTCGGGGAGGGTACCCTCGCGTTCTTCGTGTTTGCTGGATGTTCTCGTGCATCCTGAGGAGGGTACCGTGGGATGTCTTGTTTGTTTTGGCAGACGATCGGTCTCGTGTTCCTGAGGGGTGATTTTCTGGCCTAGGTCCGGCTGTAGGAACCGCTTCTGTTTGTTCGCTGACGTGAAGTGGGCGGCCCCTCGGTGGAGGATCCTCTGCCGTGCGTGCTTGCCTTCAGGGATGCAAGGGGGGCCGGGGCCGGCTGCCCCCACCCCTCCCCCTCTGCCCTCCCCTTCTCGGCGCGTTCCCGCGCCCCCCGGCATCGCTCGGCCCCCTGGCCCCTGGCATTGCTCGGACGTGCTTTTGTTTTTGGTTGTTGTTGATCGGCGAGGCCAGCGCCAGAACATGCAGACCACCGAGGAGCCTCCTGGTTCGTCATCTTGCGATCAAAAGTCATCGCAGGACGCCAAACAGACAACACTCTTTTCGTTGGCGGCGAGGCAGAGGTGCTGATCCAGCGGGCGGGCGATCGGGGCAACCGATGCGCTAATTGTCGGAATCTGGAGCATATGCACTACCAGTGGCGGGCTGTTTTTCAGTCCGTCCGGGTGGTGTGGTGCATATTTTTCCCATACTCTTCCGTTGTTTTCCCGAGGGAACAACGACAAATGTATACACCAGGATCCCGTATACACCAGGAGCCTGTTTCCTGTGCAAATTCCAATGCAGGGCCAGAAAAAGCGTAGTTTGATAGAGTTTGTCTTCCCTAAATTGGCCAGCGTGCACGAGGGAGGAACCAGGCAGGCAGGGCGACATCAGAACAACACACGAAGACAGCATACAGGGCATGGGCGTCCGAGCGACGGCAAGCTCCCGCAGGTGCAGGTGGCGCTGGGCCAGAACGAGGAGGCCCTGAAGGGTGCCAACCAGGCGCCCGCGGGGCCGCCGCGCGCCCCCTGCCTCGGCGTGCTGGGGCCTCGCGGGCGTGCCTCGGCGGGCCGCTCTCGGCGCGGGCTGCTGCCGTCGGGTGGGCCACGGGCGCGCAGCACTGGAGACTCGAAACTCTGTGTCCCCCTTCCGCCCTTCGAATAATAACAATCATAAGAGTAATAATCATAAGAGAAGTAGTACGGATATTACAAGTAATGCTACGAATCGTAATGCGAATAATAGGAAGAAGAGGAACATTAAGATACATAATAATACGAATAAGAACACTAATCGTAATACTAATAATACTAATACTAATAAGAATAACAATCATGATCAGAAAAAGAAGACACGCTGCATTAACGTAAACTCTCGACGGTGCGCGCGGAGTTCTGGGAGCTGCGCGGGGGCCGCCCCGGCGGCGCCTGTGGCACCGCCCTTGGCACGCTCCGCGCGCCAGGGAGGGGGGGCTCCAGCGCCGAGTCGAGGAATCCGAGCGGACCTCCGAAAGTTTATTGCGAAGGCCTGACGGCTGGTGCCGCCGACCCTGAAGGGGGACGACGACGACGACGACGACGACGACGACGACGACGACGACGACGACGACGACGACGACGACGACGACGACGCTGACGTGGGTCAAAGTCCTCAGGGATTCTGTTTGGGGTCTCTTCGGAGCGCTCTCGGAGGCCTCCGGGGGGCAGTTTTGGGTCCCCTTGGGAGCATCTTGGAGGTCTCTTGGGAGCCTCCTGGGAGCCTCTTGGCGCTTCCTGGGGGCCCCTTGGGAGCCTCTGGGGTCAGAAAGTTTTACGTTTCTGTCCGTATGTGTTCCCCGGCTTCACCCTGCTCCCCTGCCCGCATCCGAAGCCAGGCCTTTCTTCGTCCGTCCACGCTCCGCCCTTCGTCCTGCCCCCCTCGCATCCTCGCGCCCCCCCCACCCTGCCGCCCATGCTCCCTCGCGCCTGCCCCTCCGTCCTGCCTCCCCCCTGCCCTCCTGCCCCTCTCCCTCGCCCTGCCTCCCCACTCGCACCTCTCCCTCCCTCTCTCTCTCTGTCCTGCCCTCCGCCGCACGGAGATGTGCACAGGCACGTCCAGTGGACTGTTCCTGGGTCTTCGGGGAGGGTGGCGGTGTATGAGTCAGCACAGAGAGCCAGCGATTCTGCACACCGCCTCTCTCAGGGAGATCTCGTCGGCGCGTGTCCTTGCATCTACTCTCGTTGCGTACTGTCTCTCTCTCTCTCTCTCTCTCCCCCTCCCCAAACCCCACATGCAATGTTTTTTTCGCAACGTGGACGCCCAGATGTCTCGACTCAGAAAGGGCCCAGGGAGCAGAAAATGGCAACCGACACTTTCCGCCACGATTTTTCCAAGACCGCCAGGGTCTGGGGCCCCCTCCCCCCCTCCCCCCGTCCGTTTGTATAAGCTCCTAGATGGGGTCCGAGTAGGACACTTTTTTTGGGGGTCCGGCGATGACCCGGGTTACCGGGCTCGCCCCCCCCCCCCCCCCAGGATAACCTGGCCGGTTGTGCAGGTCGTGGGTGGGGGGCAGGGAGCTCGCAGGGAACGCTTTGTTCACCGGTATGGTGATGTTTGCCACAGCATGCTGGTGTTTGGATGCACGTTGGCGAATCGTTGGGGCTTGGAGTGGCATGGGGGGACGACGACGTCGACGACGACGACAGACCACGACAGACGACGACAGACGACGACAGACGACGACGACGACGAACGACGACAGACGACGACAGACGATGACGACGACGACGACGACGCGCGTCGTCCATAGGCATCTGGAGGTGCACGTGAGCAGCGCGTACACAGGCGTTGCGTTGTGCGCAGGCAGCGAGTTGATTTGGTGCGCGCATTTGCTGTTGTTGCAGCAGGATGTGTTGTGTACGCAGGCGTTGTGGTGTACGCAGGCATAAGTGCACGCAGGTCGCGCGGTGCACGCGGGCATCGTGATGCACCAGGCCAATATGGTGAAGAGAGGCTTTGCGGTGTGCACAACTGTTCCTGCAAAATCAGCTACCGTTCACGCAGGCATCCCAGGCATGGTGGTGTTCAGAAACATTGGTGCACGGTCATTGCGGTGCACCACACCTTGTGGTGTACACGGGCGTTCGGCGTACACATCCGCTTGCTATGCGCACATTCGCTATGGTGTGCACAGGCGTTGTGGGCCCAAAAGACGGGACCATTCACTTCGCAAGAAAGATCAGTAATTACAAAAAGCTTACATCTTGGATTTGATACGTTCGGATCCCCCGCGATTTTCTGGAGTTCGGTCCCGCCGGGGGCCCTGGAAGTGTACGCAGTTCTGTCGTGTACACAAGCACTTTGGTGCATTGGAGCTGTGGTGCACGAGTATGGTGCTGACGCAGCAAGCGTGCACATAATCGGAAACTGGAACATATACATTACCAGTGGCGGGTGGTTTTTCAATTCCACGACTTTTTGAGGGTCGGGGACGACGTCGGGGTGGTGTGGTTTATACTTTTCCCCCGTTTTCCGAGGGAAGCAACAAAACATGTATACACCAGGATGCCGTATACACCAGAATCCGTTTTCTTGCGCGAATCTCAGTGCGGGACCGTAAAAAAGCATCGGTGTATACATATCTGTTCTTTACATAAGCGTCGTCGTGTACACGGGCAGTGTGTGTGTGTGTTGTGTACACAGGCGCTGCGGTGCACACGGCTGCTGTAGTGTACAGAGGCATTGTGGTGTACACAGTCATTGTTATGTAGACAGGCGCTGCGGTGTACACAAGCAGCTGTGATGTACAAAGGCGTTGTGGTGTACACAGACATGGTCGGCCAGAAACGGGGGGACTGCACCCCGGCCCAGAAAGATCCATAACCACACATAACTTACATATTGAATTTGAGACGTTCGGGCCAGGTCCCCGGGCATTTTTCCAGATTTGGGCCCGCCCGCAGGACTCGGAGGTGCACGGAAGCGCTGTGGCGCAAATGTTCGCCATGCGCTGAGGTGCACGCGGCTCCTGTAGTGTGCACACGCACCGCAGTGTACACAGGCGCTGTGGCGCACACGGCTTCTGTCGGGTACAAAGGCATTGGTGGTGTACACAGGCACTATTGTTTATCAGGAGAGGAAAAACACACAGACACAATTAATCGGCGATTCCCAGGAAAATATTGGAAAATGGGAAGTGGGGGGGAAGACAAAAGCCCAGAAAATATGGGACAATATGGGGAATCTTTTTATTTGTGTGTATTTATTTGCATGTTTGTGGGCCCCTTCAGTTTAGACAGGCGCTGCGGTGTACACAAGCATTCTGTGTTGTACAAAGGCGTGGTGTACACTAGACAGGCACCGTTGTGTACACAAACATGGTCGGCCCAAACTGGAAAGGGAGGGACCGTATCCCGGCCCAGAAAAATCAATAAGCACAAACATCTTACACATTGAATTTGATACGTTCGGACCCTCGGGGATTTTCCAGATTTGGGCCCTGGCGGGACCTTGGAAGTGCGCGGAAGCGCTGTGGCGCAAATGTTCGCCATACGCTGTGGTGCACGTTGCTCCTGTGGTGTGCACAGGCGTCGTCGTGTACACAGGCGCTGTGGTGCACGCAGAAGCCTCTGCTGCAGCAGCACCTGCGGTGTGCAAGACCGTTGTGGCGCGCGCGTGTTTTGTAGTGCTCGCAGGCAGTGTGGTGCACGCGTGTTCTATTGATATTGTGCACAACTTCGCGGCTACGCTAAGCAACCACAGCCCGCGTATTCCAATGCGAGCTGTCCAGACATCCCTAGGCATTCTCAGACGGCGCCCGCATCGTCGCAGCACCAATAGTAGCATCGTGGCAACATCGTTAGCAGCTGTAGGGGCCGCAGCAGCGGTGCGCGCGAGCATATAGGGCTGCCCACAGCGCGAAGGTTGTTAGATTATCGGCCGGCCCCCCCCTCCCCCCCTCCCCCGATATCCCGGGTTACCGCCGATTCAAAAAACGGGTCTCCGGATGGGGTCGAAGGATCGCGCCGCATCGGCGATGCATCGCCGACGCGGCTCGATGTGCAGCCCGATTTGCTTCACGTCGACGTCGCCGTTGCATCGCCGACGTCGAAGATGCTGCATCGCCCGTGCATCGCCGATGTGTCGGCGATGCGGCGCGACCCTCCGACCCCATCCACTCCAACCCCATGTTGGAGGCCTCGCTGGCTTGGGGATCCGGGACTCGGCGTCTCTGGCCCACCCTGCCCGCACGCCTCCGCCGCCTGCAGAGTGGCCCCCTCCGCGGCCAGGGCAGGGGCGTGCAGGCCGCCGGCCGTCGGGTCCCCCTCCCGTGCCCCCCGCCGGCGGGTGCGGAGCAGCGGGTGCGAAGGCCGACGCCAGGTCGTGCCCATGCTGAGCAGGCTTCGCTGTCAGCGTCGCCGCGGACGCTGCTCGCTCGAGACAGGATCCCCTGCCAAGCAGCGGCCGCCGTCGGTTCTGGGAAACGCTTGCTGTTGGGGATCGTATCTTTTTCCCGTACCCATACTGCGCGTGCCAGCTAGTAGCGGTCGTGCTAGTGGTAGTGGTCGCAGTTGTCGTGGTTGTAGGAATGATGCGGTGGGGGGGGGGAAGAGGAGGAAGAGGAGGAGGAGGAGGAGGAGGAGGAGGAGGAGGAGCAGGAGCAGAAGGAGGAGGAGGAGGAGATGGAGAGGAGGAGGAGGAGAGGGAGGAGAGGAGGAGGAGGAGGAGGAGGAGGAGGAGGAGGAGGAGGAGGAGGGAGGAGGAGGAGGAGGAGGAGGAGGAGGAGGAACTGGAGGAGGAAATGAAGGAGGAGGAGGAGGGAGAGGAGGAGGAGGAGGAGGAGGAGGAGGAGGAGGACAAGAATCACGATGAGGCCGAGTCGGAGGGGGGAGGAGGGTGTGGAATCGGGGGTGGTGTATATCATGGCCGTGGCCATGATATGTCCTCGGATGGCATGGCCCCCCTATGTTATCTCAATGCATGCCTTGGCCCACCCTTGGGCCACGCACTTGCCTTTTGCCAGGATTTGCGCCCCCCGCCCTTCTTGGGCGTCCCCGTCTTCGACGCCCCCTGGACTGGGTTGCAGTCCTGTCAGGCACTCCTCCATCGTCATCTTCACACCCTCTTTCCGTTATTGGTTACCTATGGCTCCCCAGCGCTTGTGCCCATGCCGATGCCTTCCTTTTTCCCTCTCCCTCTTCGTTTTCTCCTTCCTCCCTCCTCCTCATCCTTTCTCCGTTTCCCCCGCCTTCCACCTCATTCCTCCTCCTGTTTCTCCGCCGCCACTGTCCTCGTCGTCGTCGTCGTCGTCCTCCCCCTCCTCCTCACTTTCCCCTTCCCCTCGTGCTCGCCCTCGTCTGCCCTGCTGCCTCCTGCACCCTTCCCCTTCTGCCTCCCCCTCGCATCCTGCCTCCTCTGGCAGGCCGTGGAGCTCTTCCGCTCGATCGAGGCCCAGCGGGCGGAGTCCGACGCCATCGTGCTCGTGGCGGAGGCCCTTGGAGAAAAAGAAGGGGTGATGACGACGACGGTGACGATGACGAGGACGAGGAGCACGAGGAGGAGGATGAGGAGGATGAGGATGACGATGGTGATGACTATGACAGCGACGACGGCGACGACGACGATGATGATGCTGATGGTGACGATGGTGATGATGATGCCGACGATGCTGGTGATGGTGCTGCCGGCTGACGGCAATGACAACGGTGATTCTGAAGATGAGCATGTTGCTGCCGATGATGATGATGATGATGATGATGATGATGATGATGATGATGATGATGATGATGATGATGATGATGATGATGATGATGATGATGATACTGATGATGCTGATGATGATGATGATGATGATGGTGAAGCTGGTGCTGATGATGATGAGGAGTAGGATGGTGAGGATGATGCTTCTGATGATGATTGTGATGGTGGTGTTGAGGACGTTGCTGCTGATGATGTTGATGATAACTATGATGATGGCGGTTGTGATGGTGATGATGGTAAGTATGACGGTGATGATCACCATGCCGATGACGATGATGATATTGATGATACTCATGCTCATGATGATGCTGCTGGCGATGATGATGCTCATGCTGATGGTGATGCTGCCGATGCTGATGATGCTCATGATACGGATGATGCTGATGATGCTGATGCTGCTGCTGATGGTGCTGATCATGATGCTGCTGCTGCTGCTGATGATGATGATGATGATGCTGATGCTGGTGTTGATGATGACGATGCTGATGGCGCTGATGATGATGGTGGTGATTGTGACGATTGTGATACTGATGGTGGCGATGATGACGGAGAGAAGAAGGACGCGATGGTGATGCTGATGATGATGATGATGATGATGATGATGATGCTGATGATGATGATGATGATGATGATGCTGTTGCTGATGAAGATGCTGATGCTGATGCTGCTGATGATGATGCTGATGCAGATGATGCTGTTGATGTCATGAGGATGCTGATGCTGATGATGATGCTGATGCTGGTGATGGTGATGGTGATGGCGATTTCGATTTTGATGGTGATTGTGATTATAGGACCGCTGTTGATGATGATCATGATGATGCTGCTGCTGCTTATGATGATGCTGATGATGCTGCTGCTGATGATGATGATGATGCTGATGACAATGATTCTGATGTTGATGGTGATGCTGATGTCGATGGTGATGATGATGATGGATATGGGGAAGGCGATGGGGATGGGGATTGTGATGCTGATGCTGATGATGATGCTGATGATGATGCTGATGCCTCTGATGCTGATGATGATGCTGATGCTGATGCTGTCGTTTATGATGATGATGATGATGATGATGATGATGATGATGATGATGGTGATGATGCTGCTGATGATGACGATGTCGCTGCTGTCGCTGCTGCTGCTGCTGATGATGATGATGATGATGATGATGATGGTTGTGATGATGATGCTGATGATGATGATGATGATGATGATGATGATGATGATAATGATGACGATGAAGATGCTGATGATGAGGAGCATGTTGCTGTCGATGATGACCGTGATGAGGATTATCGGTATGAGTTCGATTACCATGAGGATGATACTGTAGATGCTGATGCCGTTTTCGAGCGATCTGCGCTATCGGAGAGCCTCGATTGTTCAAGGTTGAACGATCAACGCGGCGCCAGAAACCAACGCCCGCGGCTCCGCTACGCGAGCTAGCCGTAGTTTCCTGCTCCCTGCTCCGTCCTCCCCGCTCCCTGCCACCTGCCCCCTCGCCTCCCTCATTTCCCTCATCCTCGTCCTCCGCCTTCTCGCCTCTTGCACCTGGGCGCCTGTCGGTCTCTGGAGTCGCAGATGGGCGGCCGTTACGCGAGCATGGTCTCTGCAGCCGCCAGCTCTTGGGCAGTTCGGCGGCGCGCGCTTCCGCCGTCATGGCAAAGACGCGCGGCCTCGGCGGGCAGTCTACCAGCTTGCTCGACGCCCCCTGGCCAGCCAGCGACGGCGTTTTCTGTTCGCCTCCCCCGCGCGCGCCTTCCTCCAAGGCCCACCCATGTTCATGTGCCCCGCGCCCCGCCGTGAAGCCGGCCGCGCATTTCTGAGGACTAGTCTTCCAAGGTCGGCCACAGTGCATCCTGAGATGGTGCGGTCAGTCAGCGCACACCCCGCTACGGTAGGTTTGCGTCGTGTCGACCAGCGGCGACCCCAGCGCGGGCGTTCAAGGTTGAACGCCGGCGGCGGCCCAGAATCGATCGATGTTGAACGATCGGACGTTGCGGCAGCGGCCGATCGTTCAAGGTTGAACGATCCCTGCGGTGTCAGAAACCAACGCTGGGGTCGGCACGACACGAACCTGCCGTACGCTGATGCGCAGCGCGAGAGCGCGTCTCAGGTGCAGTGCCGACGCGCCTCGCGCTGCCTGCACGAGCTGCTCCGCGCCGAGCGCTGCTGAGAGCGGGGACGCATCCGTCCCGAGTGTGCCCCGCCCGAGGCTCTGTCGACCCGGGAGCGCCAGGGGCTGGGCGGCCCTGCTGCGGCCCGAGGAGGGCTCAGGGCACCGCCTCCGCGCCTGGGCGGCAGCGCCGCGGCCTCGGCTCCAGAGCTCGGAGGCGAGGGGCGGCTGCCCCCCCCTCCCCCCCCCCCCCCCCCCCCCCCCCCCCTCAGCTGCGAAATCCGAGCCCTACCCTCGCCGATCAACGACGCAGGCAACTCGAGGGGCGCGGGGGGGGGGGGTGAGACGGTTCGGAGCGCTTGGCACGTGGCGGAACCCGAAGCCTACCCCCGCCTCGCATCGATTCAGGAGAAACGATGGTTGGCGGCGGTGGGGTTCGGATGTCGACACCTGTAAGGGAGGCTTCACCGGCACTCGACGAGGAGGAGGAGGAGGAGGAGGAGGAGGAGGCGGGGGGGAGGGGGAGGAGGGGGGAAGTAGGAGGAGGAGGAGGAGGAGGAGGAGGAGGAGGAGGAGGAGGAGGAGGAGGAGGAGGAGGAGGAGGAGGAGGAGGAGGAGGAGGAGGAGGAGGAGGAGGCGGGAGGGAGGGAGGGAGGGAGGAGGAGCCAGGAGAGAGGGGGGAGGGAGGGAGGGAGGGAGTGAGGGAGGGATGGATGGAGGTAGTGAGTGAGTGAGTGAGGGAGGGAGGAGGATGAGGAGGAGATGGATGATGATGCTGCTGATGATGATGATGATGATGATGACGATGGTGATAATGATGAGGATGATGAGGATGATGATGATGACGATGATGATGATCATGATGATGATGATGCTGATGATGATGAAGATGATGATGATGACCTGATGATGAGGTTGGGGATGATGATGATGCTGATGCTGCTGCTGCTGCTGCTGATGATGATGATTCTGATGATGATCAGGATGCCAATGATGATGATGATGAGGATGAGGATGATGAGGATGATGGTGATGGTGGAGGGGTGATGCTGATGATTATGATACTGCTGGTGTTGTTGATGATGCTGATGTTGATGCTGTCGATAATGATGATGACGATGATGCCGGTGCTGATGATCATGATGATGCTGATGATGCTGCTGTCGATGATGATGCTGCTGATGATGAGGAGGAGGAGGAGGATGTGGGCGAGCAAGACGAGGAGGAGGAGGATGAGGAGAAGAGTGAGGAGAAGGAGGAGACGGAGGATCATGCTGATGATGATGATGATGCTGATGATGATCTTGGTGACGAGGATGGCGATGCTGCTGATGATGTTGACGATGATGACGATGCTGATTCTGATGATGACTCTGATGATGACGATGATGATGATGATGCTGCCGCTGATGATGATACTGATGCTGATGGTGATGATGATGCTGATGCTGATGCTGATGCTGCTGTTGATGCTGACGATGATGATGATGATGATGATGATGATGATGATGATGATGATGGTGGTTATGGGCATGCTGGTGGTGATGCTGATGCTGATGCTGATGATGATGCTGATAATGCTGATGATGATGCTGATGATTATGATGATGATGATGATGATGATGATGATGATGATGATGATGATGCAAGTGATGCTGATGCCGCTGCTCGTGCTGATGATAATGATGATGCTCCTGCTGGTTGTGGTGATGATGCTGATGATAATGATGCTGCTGATGATGATGCTGATGATGAACATGATGATGATACTGATTATGATGATGATGCTGAAGATGGTGATGATGATGATGCTGATGATGATGAGGATGGTGATGATGACGATGACGATGCTGATGATGATGGTGGTGGTGATGATGATGATGATGATGATGATGGTGATTAAGGTGATGATGATGACGATGATGCTGATGATTCTGATGACGATGGTGATGATGAGGAGGTGTGATGATGAGGAGGAGGAGACGGATGATGATGATGATGATGATGATGATGATGATGATGATGATGATGATGATGATGATGATGATGATGATGATTCTGATGATGATTCGGATGGTGATGATTGTGATGATGGTGATGTTGGTGATGATGATGGTGATGATGATGACGATGATGATGGTGATGATGATGATGCTGGTGATGATGATGCTGCTGATGATGGTGATGCTGACAATGATGATGATGCTGGTGATGATGAGGAGGGTTGATGATGATCATGATGATGCTGATAATGCTGCTGATGATGAGGATCATGATGACGCTGATGCTGATTATGATGATGATGCTGCTGACGATGATGAGGATGATGATGATTGTGATGATGATGATGCTGATGATGATGATGCTGATGCTGCTGATGCTGATTCTGATGATGATGATGATGATGATGATGATGATGATGCTGATGATGATGATGATGCTGATGATTATGCTGCTGCTGATGATGATGATGATGATGATGATGATGATGATGATGATGATGATGATGATGATGATGATGATGATGATGGATGATGATGATGATGATGATGATGATGATGATGATGATGAGGGGAGGAGGAGGAGGAGGAGGAGGAGGAGGAGGAGGAGGAGGAGGAGGAGGAGGAGGAGGAGGAGGAGGAGGAGGAGGAGGAGGAGGGAGGGAGAGAGGAGGAGGAGGAGAGGAGGAGGAGGGGAGGCGGAGGAGGAGGAGGAGGAGGAGGAGGTGAAGGAGGAGGAGGAGGAGGAGGAGGAGGAGGAGGAGGAGGAGGAGGAGGAGGAGCAGCTGGAGGAGGAGGAGGAGGAGGAGGAGGAGGAGGAGGAGGAGGAGGAGGAGAAGGAGGAGGAGGAGAGGGAGGAGAGGAGGAGGAGGAGGAGGAGGAGGAGGAGGAGGAGGAGGAGGAGGAACTGGAGGAGATTAACTGAGGGAGGAGGAGGAGGAGGGGAGGAGGAAAAGGAGAGGAGGAGGCGGAGGAGGGGGAGGCGGAGAGGAGGAGGAAGAGGGGAGGAGGAGGAGGAGGAGGAGGAGGAGGAGGAGGAGTAGGAGGAGGAGGAGGAGGAGGAGGGCGAGGAGGAGGAGGAGGAGGAGGAGGAGGAGGAGAAGGAGGAGGAGGAGGAGGAGGCGGAGGAGGAGGGGGGGGGGGCCGTGGCAAGGTCTACCTTGCCTCCGGCGACCTCAACCGGTGCGTGGACGTGGCCGAGAAGGCCGTCGGGCTCGCGCAGAAGTGCAAGGACGCCTGGGGTGGGCCCTGGCGGCTCCACATTGTAAAATGACGAACGAACAACACACATACCTATAGGGGTTCGTTGGGCGGATCCGCCATAAAAGAAATACACAGACACCCATTGGGATGCTATGGGTATGGGTGCGGGTTGTCGGTCCCCAGGGGAAAGCTCCCGTTCGAGTGGGGACCTCCAGCCTCCAACCGCCAGCACGCATCTATAGCCTTCTCCGACTCCTCGATGGGTATGGATGTGTGTGTGTTGTCTGTTCATCATACAAGACTGCTACGTCAACATCCTGCAAGACCGCAGTATCCTGCAGGTCTTGCGGAGCCCGACAGGCCAGGGTGTGGATTCACCCGGGCCAGTAGATTTCCGAGGGGCCCCCCCGTCACTCTCCCCAGGGCACGCTTTTCGCGCCGCTGGTGGTGCTTTGTGTTCTGTCGGGCCCTATTTGATGGGCCTGTTTTCCACCACCACCACCATCAGTTGGAGGGGGGGAAGGAGGTGGAGGATGAGGAGGAGGAAGAGGAGGAGGAGGAAGAGGAGGAGGAGGAGGAGAAGGAGGACCCCCTCCCCCTCCTACTTATGTTGGTGGCGGTGGAAAGCGAGCCCATCACTATTTTCTATCGCCGGTGGCCTCCTCCCGCGTTCTCCCTTCGCGGCCGCTCTCCTCCCCCCGTCGCATCGTGCCCCGAGTTCTGGCGTGGCCCGTTGGCTGAGCCCGAACGCATTGGCGCTCGCCTTCGCTGCCGATCCACAAGGTTTTGGGGGGTCTCCTGGCCTGACGCGGTCGTGCGCTTTGGCTTTTCACAGCAGGGCGCTCCGGCTTCTGCTTCGCAGTCGGACGCTTTGGCTTCTGCTTTACGGTCGTGGGGCGCTCGTGCTCGTGTCGTTTGTTGCTCCCGCTCCACAGCCGCGTCTCCGCGCCGTCGTCCTCCCTGTATTTCCCGAAGAGTTGCCACTTGCGCACTCTCCTGCCCACGCGTCCTGCTGGATGCTCGGGTCAGTTTGTGGTGGTGCCCCGACTCGGCCCCAGGACTCACCACCCACCAAGCCACCCCAACCCAACCCGACGGCCTCAAGTTGCCCTCCATTTCCAGTGGGCGGTGGCGGGTCGGGGAACACCGAAAAACACAAGGACGCCAGCAAACGCTCTGGCAGCCTCGTGATGTCTTCACGACGCCAGAGGCCTGGGCCCGTCATGGGAGCGCGGCGCTCTCTTGTGATGCCGGCGAGGTGCGGGGGTGCCTCGCCCGCCCCGAGCCCGGCGCTGCGAGGACGTCGGCGTGGAGAACCGCGCCTACGAGGCCGGCCAGGGGGAGGAGGAAGAGAGGGAGGGAGGGAGGGAGGGAGGGAGGAGAAGGGAAGGAGGGAGGGAGGAGGAGAAGGAGGAGGGGAGGATGATGAGACGGATGAGGAGGGGGAGGAGGAGGAGGATGATGATGATGATGAGGAGGAGGAGGAGGAGGAGGAGGAGGTGGAGGCGGTGGAGGAGGATGCTCGAGGCTCGATATTTTCGAGTTCGAGGTTTGAGGTTTTCGGGCGTTCGCTTGATTTACGGCGGTTGTCCAGCCGCGCGGCGCTTTCCAGCAGCTGCACCACGCCGAGAGCGATCCAGGGGGTGCCTGGATCGCCTCGAACGGCCGCTGGAGAGCAGAGTTATGACCCGAAAGCCAGGGGGGACATCGCTAAGGGTGGATTGGCTCAGTGGGGGATGCATCGAACCCCAATCGCCCATTCATCGCCGGTAGGGGTCCGATGGCCCACCCCGCCCAGGAGTATCCAGGTTCGCTATCTGGGGCACATCGCCGATCTATCGGCGATGCATCGCCAAATTCTGGCTAGATGTCCCCCCCCACACCTTGAGAACATCATCCCCTAACGTTCCCCCTCGAGGAGGGAGAGGAAAGGATAGATCGAGGGATGGATGAAGAGGAGGGGGGGGAGGAGGTCCGCCTGGAGATTCGCACCTGCGAGGCTCGCTTCCCCGCCCGCTCGCTCTCCCTCCTGGGGGCCGGGCGGCGTCTCGCGGAGATCGCCTCGCGGAAGTGGGGAGGGGGAGTCGAAGAGCCAAACGCGGCATCAACAGAAGTTCTAGACGCTTCGCGTATCCCCATCAGCGTACCCATGCGCTGCGCACTAGACAGCCCACGCTGGTCTCGTGGAACCCTCCTGAACGGCGGATGGTGGCTGAAATAACCCACCCCCCGTGTACCACTGGGACACCTACTTTGGATGATTGGGGAGGCTGACCATAGACCCACCCCACGCGCTCCACCTGTATTGTTCCCCCTTGGACACCTACTTTGGATGGCCGGGGATGGTGGCCATAGGCCCACCCCACGCGCTCCAGCCTGGCTCTGACGCTCTGCACCTCACGTGCTTCCCCCCCGACGATGCTGCCCTGAAGCAGGGACATAGCTTTCCCCAGCAGTGGTCAGGCGCTCTGTTCCCCCCGCGACCGAGGTCCCACCGCATCGCGCGGTGGAGATCACAGTGGCCAAGGTCTCGCAGTATAAGCAATGGCGTCGCCCCCCTCCTCCTCCTTTCATTCACTGGATTTTGCGGCTATCGGCTGCGTCTCCTCCTCTCCCCCCTCCTCCTCCTTTGGATTCGGCAACACACAATTTCCCCCCTACCGATGGTCTTGGAGCACTTGGGTCTACGTGCCACCTGGAGGCTCTCTCGCAGAGCTCCGAGGTGAGGTCGGGCCGCGCTGCTGCCAGGTGTTGTTCTGACAACTCGGGCTTTTGCCTGCCCCGGCACCACCGGGGGCCGGACCTGGGGTGAGTGCGGAACGGCAAGTGGTACACCCTTTGCTCGACTGTCGACGTTCCCCCTTCTGGTCCACCCGTGCCCCCGGTTGACGCTCGCCGCTTGGTTCCCCCGTCCACCGTGATGGTTGAGCTGCCTGCGTTGTTCGCCGACGACTTGGTCCACCTCTCTCGGCGGGAGCCACCTTCGTGCTCCAGGTACTGCACAAGTGGTTCATCCTTCGTCTGTACTCCAGCCCTCCTGCGGGTTGGTACATGGCGCTCGGCCACGCCTGCTGCCTTTCCCCCGACACTCTGGGTCAGGCAGTCAAGGTTCGGACTCCGCGACTGGGTCGACGTCTCCGTGCATTGGTCGGTGGCCCATGTCCGATCGCGCTCAGGAGTCCAAGTGAGTGAGGCTTTCCCGGCTCCCCCTCTTCTGCCTGCCCGTTCCTTGCTCTCTCGCTTCTCGTCGTGGTGAGCGGTGCGGCCTCGCGTGCCCACTGTGCTGCCACTGAGCTGCTTGGTCCTAGTCAGTGCTCTCTGGACTGTGCGGTTCGAGCTGGCGCCACTGTGCGACTTCTCCTCCGTCTGCTTCAGTCTGGTGCTTGCGTCCCCGTTCCTGGGTCGCTCGCATCTTAATGGGGGGCATTTTGCCTCTTGCAGGTGCACTTGTTGCGTCGGCCTAGGCGCCGTCGTAACCAATTATCTCGCCCTGTGCCCCAGCCGCGCCCGCCCCGCTTCCTGGACTTTTCCTTGGGGCCGTCCATCAAACAAGTATCCCCACCAGCCCATCCAGAAACGATGTCCAGGCGAGTTGAGGTGATCAGGGAAGTGCGGCAGCAAAGAGGAGGACGGCCGAACCGTGCGAATGAGTGAGGAGGAGAAGGAGTAGGTGGATGGATGGGTGGATGGTGGAGTGGGGAGAAGGAGGATGAATAGGATGAGGAGGAGGCGGATGAGGAGGAGGAGGAGGAGGAAGAAGAGGAGGAAGAGAAGGAGTGGGAGCAGGAAGGAGGAACAGGAGGAGGACGAGGAGGCGGGCAAACACAAGGGCCAGAGGTCTCTTGGATGCCTCTCGGAGCCTCTTGGAGTATCTCCTGGGCGATTCCTGGTGGCCTCTTGGGACGTCATGGGGGTCTCTTGGCGATCCTGGGGGGCCCTTCGGGGTCTTGGGTGCCTGGGGGGGCCTCTGGGGGCCGCTTAGGGTCTTTTTGGGGGCCTTCTGGGGGCCTCCTGGGGGCCTCTTGGGGGCCTCGTGGGGCCACCTTGGGACCTCTTGGGGCGCTTCTTGGGGCCATCTTGGAGGAGATCGGTCAACGAAGGGAGGTCCCTAAATTAACGCCCCCCCCCCAGGAGGCCAAAATGGGGCGAACACCGTGGTAAAATCAATGATTTTGGTTTCCTCGCCGAGGCCGTTTTGGACGCTCTAACTACCCGCGGCCCCCCCCGTCCAGGTCCAGGGGAGGGGGTAGGGGGAGGGGTAACCCCCTCCCCGAAGGGGAAGAGGGAGGGTTGGAAGAGGAAGCGCCCTAAACCACCGACGCCCGGAAGGCTGGTGGGATTTTCGGCGGTCCGCGCGAATTCCTTCGATCCGCACTGGGTCCCCGTGGCGGCGCCTCCAGCGCCGCCCCTGGCGCGTTCCGCGCGCCAGGGAGGGGGGTCCAGCGCCGATCCCAAACATCCGCGCGGACCACCGAGAAACTCTTGACGCTTCGCGCATCCCCACCAGCCCATCCAGAAGCGATGCCCAGGCAAATTGCCTCTTATAGTCTCCTCGGGTGTCTCTTGGAGGTTTTTTGGAGGCCTCTTGCAGCGTCTCGTGGGCCTCTTGGCGGTCCCGGAGGCCTCTTGGAGCGTCTTGGATATCTCGGGGAGCCTCTTGGGGCCTCTTGGGGGTCTCTTGGGAGCCTCTTGGGGGCCTCTTGG